GTGACTCTCTTCGTGACATCTCCACTTCTCTTTTCTCCCCTTGTTTAAAATTTAAAAAATAATTGGAGCTTTTATCCTGTCAGCCTTCCATATCCGAAGTTTCCACATTGGCAAATTCAACCAACCATACATCAAAGATATTTGAAAAAAAAAATTATCTTTTTTTTCTTATCATTATTCCCTAACTATATAGCATAACAACTGTTGACACAGCATTTACATTGTGTTCACTATTGTCAGTAATCTAGAGATGATTTAAAAGTATGGGAAGATAAGTGTCGTTTATGTGCAAATAGGACTCCATTGTATATAAGAGACGTAAGCACCTGCAGGTTCTGACAGCTGAGGGGCAAGTCCTGGAACCAATCCCCCATCCCACCCCTAAGGATACTGATGGACAACTCCTTGTCCACAATATACAGGTGACATATTGATTCCATACCCATTGCCTTATCCTCCCCAAACAATTCCAGAGAACTGTAAGGCAGGTCTTTTCATTGTTCTCATTTTACAGATAAGAAAATCAGAGATCAATAGGTGAAATGCGCCCCCAGCCAGTCACACAGCACAAAAACGTGGAGCAATATTTGAACATGAACTTTGATGCCAATCCCTAAGGTTCTGTCTCTGAGCTGCTCCCCACTCCAACACCCCACCACCTCTGCCAACCTCAGCACCTGGTGCAAGGTATTCTTGGCATTAACTATCTTAGCAGGACCCCCCTCTTTGCATCCTAGGAAGAGTGTCAACCCTTTGCCTCTTGGGGGAGTGAGTGACCCAGAGATCAGCCTTAGGATCTCAGGCTATAGAGTGGCTGGTGTTCTGCTATCCCCAGGGAAAGAAGGGCCAGACTCCAACCCCCAAGACCCGAGGGATTCTGTCCCACTCTGTTCCCCACTGATGCTCCCAACCTATCAGACTAAACCCTGTAAGTTGCTTTGATGTTGTTGTTATTGTTGTTCTGATTGGTTATACACGACAGTAGAATGCATTTTGATATATTGTATAAAAATAGAGCACAACTTCTCATTCCTCTGGCTGTATATGATGCAGAGTCACTCCAGTAGTATAATCATACATGTATACAGGGTAATAATGTCTGTCTTATTCTACTGTCCTTCCCATCCCCACAGCTCTACCCGTCCTCTCACTCCCCTCTATACAAACCAAATTTCCTTCATCCCTTCCTAAACCCCCACCCCACCCCACTATGGATCAGCATCTACTTATCAGAGAAAACATTCCGTTTTCGGTTTGGGGTAATTGGCTTATTTCACTTAGCATGATATTCTCTAGCTCTATCCGTTTACCTGCAAATGCCATAATTTCATTTTTCTTTAAGGCTGACTAATATTCCATTGTATATATGTACCATATTTTCTTTATCCATTCATCTGTTGAAGGGCATCTAGATTGGTTCCATAGTTTAGCTATTGTGAATTGAGCTGCTACAAACATTGATGTGGCTATCACTGTAGTATGCTGATTTTAAGTCCTTTGGGTATAAACAGAGGAGTAGGATAGCTGGATCAAATGGTGGTTCCATTCCAAGTTTTCTGAGGAATCTCCATACTGCTTTCCATAGCGGTTGCACCAATTTGCAGTCCCACCAGCAATGTATGAGTGTACCTTTTCCCCACATCCTCGCTTGTATTCTTGATCTGTAAGTAGCTTTTTAGCTAAAAAACTCAAGTAAGTGCCCAGAAGGTGCCTGAGAACAAGAGGTAGCATCGAGCCCAGTAGCTCTCCAAGTGTGCCTCTCTGATCAGGAGAAATACACATTCCCAGGTCCTATCCCAGATCTGCTGAATCAGAAATTCTGAGGATGGGGCCAGCAATTCTTAGTGTCACACACCCTCCAGGGAACTCTGATGCACACTGCAATGTGACAGCCACTAGTCTAACATCTTGACCTTACATGTCACAGGGTGGAGAAACAGGATCAAAGACTCATTTGGGACACTCTGTCATTCTCACTCTCTCATTCCCAGTCCCTCTGCATCTTCCACCTGCAGCCTCTGCCTGTAAACATAACGCCATCTGCATCTTTCTAACCCTTTTGAGAGTCTTGCCTTTGGTCCTGCACACATCCACTCCATTGCAGCCAGATATCCTGAGGCTTCCCCCTCCCTGTCCCAGGACATCTAGGACTTCCAGGCTGGTGGGGGAATGAGCTTCAGTTCCACTTCAGGCTCTGCCCACCAACCACTGCTGCTGCCAGCTTTCTCCTGACAGTTTAAGGACAAATTTGTCTTTCAACCAAAGAATTGATTTTCTCCTGAAGACGTCACATTCTAGTTTACAAGAGAAGCGTGTGTTCTTCCTACCAATATGACTGATCCCCCTCCTTGGGAAAATAATGGCTGCCCTAATTTACCAGAGCAGTACTTTCTGCCTCCCTGGGCTATTTTCACACCAAGGGGCCAATACTTGGCTGAAAGTGCCTCTGAGTCACCCAGGCTGGTCTTGATTTCTCACTTCTTTACCAATGGGGAGGTGTTCCGTGCATCCTAAGTCGCTCACTGCATGAGAAGCAAATTCTGGAAGGGCCGGCAAAACAGGGGTGCTGGATTACTCACCAGCAGGACCCCCCCACCCTCGCTGCCTCAGGAGATGGAAGCTAAGCTTTATCTCATCCTCCATCAACACCTACTAGGGCTGAGCCATGTGGACGGCCACTGTCCCTAGAGAGGAGATAGCAGAGCAAAGCACCCAGGAAGGTGCTGGATTATCCCGAGCTTTCCTGGGATAATCCACAAGCATAAGACATGCCAAGATCCATGACCTGTCCTTTCTGCTCATCCCACATAGCCCAGGACCCAGAGCCTCCAGAAGGAGGTGGCCTCCAGCCATCACACAAATTGCTCCGGCAAGCACAGCTCTAGAAATTCAGAACTGCCCTTCTGCATTGTCCTTAGCTGTCCACATCACAAGGGCCTCCCTCCTCTCACAGCCTGCTGGGAGGCACAGGTGGAGCTGGCCCCTCATCAGCAGGTGCAGGGAACCCCTTGTGGTGTGCTAATGCCTCCTGTGTGGACAACAATGTTGCCCGTAGGAAGAGAGGGCCTTCCTCTCCCCACTGCAGCTGGGAAAGCTGCTGTCCTGGGTCCTGCCCAATGGTGAGCCAATCCCATGAGTCACAGGGAACCCATCAGGAGTTTTTTCCCAATAGGTTCCCCCATAGCCACAAGCAGGAAGACCACCCTTCCCCAACCAAGTTCTGGCACAGAAGTAGGTAGATTGGGTCCAGCCTCCAGCTGCCATCTTGTCAGATGGTGGCTCTATATTGCATTTGGGGCACTCCTACCATGAGTCCCCCAGTACTATCTCTGTCAAGCAGCAAGCACCATAGTAGTTAGAAGTTGAGGTACCAGACCCAGATGGACTGTGATCAAATTCCAGTCTCCCACTCCTATCTAAGCCCCAGGGAAGCTGTTTTCCTTCTCTGGATGTCTATTTCTTCACCTGTTTTTTAAGAATAATAGCAACAGCTACTTCATACTCACTAGCACATGGGACACACTCAATTTTAAATGTAGAAATTATTTTTTTCCAGTATTATCCTTTTATCCTCTGCAGCAGATGCAGGATGGAAGAACTTTCCACTAAGCTCTAGTAGAAACTTACAGGAAGGGAACTCTTACCCCCAAAACAGCCAGGCCTAAATCCTGAGCTACATCCAGCACTGGAGAGAGATGAGCAACCACACTCTCACCAGCACCTTGACAGCCAAGGGGTTCCATCTGCGGTAGGGTCTGAGGCCTGATGTATGGCAGCATACCGACATATCCCACGCTGGTGATTCTTCTATGGCCACCAGAGCAAGGTGACCATCAGCTTGGGGGCACTGTGACCTCATGATTTCCTCAAAGGGCAAAAAGGGTTCCTTGTGCCTAGAGTATGACCAGGAGCTCTGAGGCCCCCACCCTGCATCCAAGGCTGGGTCTGAGTATCCAAGGCTGGACCATTCCATAGCAGGATCAGGATACAAGCCAGGTCTAATATTTCATGTAACTAAAATATTTAGGAATAGACATTTTAAACATCAGATGCAGGTATGGCTGGATGTAGGATCTCCCAGTATTTATTAGTTAACCAATATTTATTAATACTTTTATATTCCAGGTAGTGTTCTTAGCATGCAAACTAAACCTTTGTCCTCATAATAATTGAGCTGTTTAAGAATATATATTCTGGGGGGCTGGGGATATGGCTCAAGCGGTAGCGCACTCGCCTGGCATGCGTGCGGCCCGGGTTCGATCCTCAGCACCACATACAAACAAAGATGTTGTGTCTGCCGAAAAACTAAAAGTAAATATTAAAAAATTCTAAAAAAAAAAAAAAAGAATATATATTCTTACCCCATCTCTCTGAGTGGGCACAGCCAGATGCCCCCTCATGGTCACAAGTGCTATAACAGTGACTTTCAAGGCTATGTCCTTCCAGATTCAAATACATCAGAAAAGGGTGAGTCCTGGCAAAAATCCTGAAACAACTATCTGGACATCCAGGCGTCAAGCTCCCATCCCTGGAGCAGGAACTGTGGCCAGAGCAACAGGAAGTGGTGGCTGGCTCAGGCACTGGGCTCATGATCCATTCAGAGTATTGAAATGGGGGTGGGGGAAGGAGGGGCATGTACAGGGAGAATTGATGCTGGGGGGCAACAGCAAACCCCTTCTCTACTCCCTCTACCCAGGGTTTCCTTGCCTGAGCCTCACCTTCCTCTCCAGACACAAACAGCTCCTCAGATGCACTCAGCAGGGAAAGTTCTACTCGTCCTTCTCCCCTATTTCTACCCCCCACACACACACACACACAGGTAAAACAATCATAAAAATTTATTCAGGTATACAATCTACAGTTTGCACATTAATTTCACATCTGTTGTCTCCTCCTTTCCAAATGATCCCTGTGAAATAGCAAGTGCTACAGAATGAATGTGCCCCCCACCCCCACCCCACCCCACCCCACCCCCAAAAAAAAACTTATACACTGAAGCCTGAATGCCCAAGGTGATGGCATTAGGAGATGGGGGCCTTTAGAAGGTAATTTGGGTTAGGTGGGGGCCTCGAGGTGCAATTAGTGTCTTTATAAGGAGAGTCGAAGGAGAGCTTGCTCATGCCACCCCCACCCCAACTGGCACAAAGGAGAGACCAGGTGAAGACACAGAGAGGAGGTTGAGCCAGGAAGAGTCGAGAGCCCAGCCATGCTGGCTCCCTGCTCAGACTTCCAGCCTCCTGTAGAAAACAAATGTCTGCTGTTAAGTTCTCCGTCTGTGGTATTTTATTGTGGCCACCTGAGCTAAATAATACAACAGCACAGGTTTCAGCTTCTTCCTGCACCAGACCCCCTCCGAGACCATCTAGAAGTGTGGCGCTTTGAGGAACTCACGAAGGAAGCAGAGGCAGGTGGAGAACAGGATGGTTCAAGCCAGCGTTTCCCTCCACAATGTCCTGCCTTGGACTCTGACACAGGAACCGGAATGTGGGATCCAGGAAGAGACTCGCTTCCGGTCCTCTTCCCGGGCTCTGCACAAGAGTGGGAACAAGATGAGAACTGGGGTGTGGGAGACCAAGTGCTAGCCACTGACTTAGGAGTTGGGACGCCTAGTCTTTAGTCTCAGCTTTGCCCCGACGTGCTGGGTGATCCTGCTGATGTCTTGCCTGCTCTGAGCCTCAGTCTCCATATCTGTCCCCACATACCTACCAAGATCTCTTTCAGTGTGGACCCACCAGTCCTGTGCTCTGGAGCTGCTGGGGACAGCAGAGAGAAGTGCACAAGGTTGAATGCCCAGGCGTCTGGACCTTATCCATCCCTCCTTCTCTCTCTCTCCCTCTTCTGGAGCACCCAACTGCTCCCAGCAGGACCAACAATCCATTCATCCCTGCATATTCCCTGCCTGGCCCTGGGGGTCGAGCTGCTGATAGAATTTCAGATGCTTAGTCATACTTTTCTGAGTAAATATCATGGTAAAAAGACATGACATTTCCGGGGCCGGTCTTCAGCATTAATAAAAGATTCTAAGAACAGGGTGACCTTTTCACAAAGGATTTGTAAATGCCAAAAACTACATAAAACCTCTCTTTCTGAGGCAGACAGGATTGTCACAGCTCAGCATTTATTCCCCCCACATGTGATACGGGCCAGTTCTACGTGCTGGCCGGTGAGGAGCTGGGAGCACTAGACAGGGGAGGAGGAGGGAAAGGAGGAGGAAGAAGGGGGAGGAAGGAAGGAAAAACATGGAGAGAGAAAGGAAGAAAGAGGAGAACCAGGGGCTGGGGATGTGGCTCAAGCGGTAACGCGTTCGCCTGGCATGCACGAGGTACTAGGTTCCATCCTCAGCACCACATAAAAATAAAAAAGATATTGTGTCCACTGAAAACTAAAAAAATAAATATTCAAAAAAAAAAAGAGGAGAACCAGGGAGAGAGGGAAGAAGAAAATGAAGGAGGAGGAGGAGAAAACAAAGGAAAGCAGCAGGTTACAGAGCGAGGCCAGGCCTGGGAAATTGTGTGTATGGGTTGGGGGGAGGTGGTTACTTAACTGAGGGCCACTCATCCACTTAGCAGACCCCTGAGGACAAGGCATGTGAACTGCCACTCCTTAAATACCACCCCAGGGCTGTCTATGTTACTTCCGGGCTAGCCAGGTAAAGATGCTCCTGTAGCCACCAGCCAATGCATGAGGACAACGAAGGTGTCTGAGTGGCTGGCCAGTCCCATGGATAGGAGCCCAAATACCCATCCTTTGCCAGCCTTCTGCAACCATTGAGAAACTAATGTGACTCCATTTTTGAGAAACCAGCTTCTACCTCAGAGCAAAGCCTGTCCAAGGAAGGGGGCGTGACCCTTGTCCTTGGAAAACCCACAGAGCACTCACTCTAAGCACATACCCACCCTGCTGAGTTGTTTGTCTGTAAATAACGGGAGAGGTCTGTGGCACCAGGTGTCCCTGACTCAGGCTAGGTGAGGACCCATAGCAACCCCCCCCCCCCCAGCAACCTCCAATCAGCATGAGACAGGGAAAATACCTGGGATGCCAGATGACCTTCCCAGTAGTTTATGGTGGTTGATAACATGTTGGGAAACCATGTAGTTTAGCACGTACACCCCTCGTGGCCTAAACCAATCAGTTCAAATGAATCCCCCTCTTGTACTAACCAATCACCCCTACCCAACTTGTTCCCGCCAGTGAATGTGCTAATCAATGTTAAGAGTTGTTGTTTGACTTTCCCGTGGTATGGAATGATTTGCTGTGTGGTGTTGTGACGCATAGAGTATCCCCCCAAAACCTATAAAATCTCACTGAACAAAGGACTGGGACTCACTCCCTGGGACCTCTGCGACGGGAACGGTTGTGAGTCCAGGCTCAAGCTTGCAATAAAGATTCTTGTGTGATTGCATTGGATTCGGCTCCTGGAGGTCTATTGTGGTCCCACGAATCTGGCATAACACCATGTCTTGCTGTACCTTAGGAGGAGGGCAGACAGCATGGGGCAACGAAAGAACCCAGGCTTTGGGGTGAGACTCAACCTAGTTCCAGGCTAGACTTGCCAAGCCTCAGTTTCCTCATCTGTAAGGACTTCCCTCTTAAGGGTACAGGGATGATGCCATAACATCATGGACACAAGGAGCCACTCCTATTAGAGTCATGAGCTCCATCCTTCCTCTTTGAGGGCTTTGGCATTCGTCTTTTTCTTTTGTACTAGACTCCATTGTACTAGACTCCATTGTATTTTCAGAAGTGGACTCCACTACTGGGCCAGAAATTTGCATCAAGCCCTTGCCACCGCACTCTCCGGGACAGCTGCCAGGGACCTGGGAGGAGAAGAAGATTCTCCAGCGGAGCATGCGTAGGTAATGACCAGGCCCCCAGAGAAAGGCTCCTCAGACAGCTGCTTCTGCTCTTCCGAAGCTTGATACGCTGCCATGGGCTGCCCTTTCTCTGGGTTCACTGTGTAATGGTGCTTGACAGATCCTAATTTTCTTTTAAAAAGACATGCATTATAGCAGAGGACATAATAATACACATCGGTGACATGAGGCAATTGTCCAGTTAGTGAGGATAGAGTGGGTTTCACTGCCCAACTCCAGTGCCTGACTTATGAAGGATTTCAGAATGTGGTTTGCAAAGAGTTTTCAATTTAAAGATCACATTTTCAGGGCTGTGAAGGGGCCAGGCCACATGCTGAGCAACAGGGAATTCCACATAGACAAGCCTGGTCTCCACCCTTTATGAGCCCAAAGATGAACCCTTACAACAGCCCTGTGTATTAGGTAACATGAAACAGAAGCCCAAAGGGGCACACAGATACATGTGGCAGAACAAAGGTTAGAGCTCAGAATGTTGCCTATTTTCCCACTGCTTTTTAGCCCATACCATGGGAAGTGAGCTCAGGACTGATTTCCACTTATCTTTCAGATAGACTAGAATGATAGTTGAGAAAGCTGAACTCTGGAATCAGATAAATCTGATATTAGTTATAGTAAATAAAGCTGATTTCCTCTTCGGGGTGGGTAAGGTGATCCTGTTTCCTGGACAAGATGGTTATGTGGGGTCTAGATGTTGGAAAAGATTCTTACAATCTGCCCCTCACCCTACCTCCTTTTCCTGACTGGCTTGCCTTTCAATGGGGATGCTCAGAAAGTGACATAAAGTTGACTCTGGATGGATCTCAAGGTTATTCTGCAAGAGCTTTCTCTGCTCTTGGCTTTGTCCTCGTTATGATTCATTCATCCAGTGTATATTCACCAAGCACCTGCTGTGTCCCAGGCTTATGCTAGCTGGCAGGAATATAATAGAGAATAAACAGATCAAGTCCCTGTCTCCATGGAACTTACAGTCTGGGGTTTCAAAACTAATAACTGCAAGCAAAAACCATTGAGGGTGCCAAGCTTGGAGGCAGAATTGCATCAGAGCATCATGCTGAGAACAGCATCCACAGACTTGTGAAAGGTTAGACAGGTAAACATAGGTTCCAGCCAAAGGGAATAATATCTGCAAAAGTCCAAATTTTTGAGGGAAAAAGGAGCCCTGCTAGTAGTCCAGTAAGGCTAGAACAGGGACTTGGGGGGGTGGGGGCGGGTATGGATGTCCTGAGACATGAAATTGGAAGAGAAAGCGGGACCTTATCAAGAAGTGCTGGCACCCAGGCCTTCTCCAAAATCAGAAGCTATCCATTGAAAGATTCTGACCAGAGTTCCCATGGCCAGCTTTGCTCTCTAGAGAGAATTATCTAGTTGCTATTGAAGAAGGTGTTGAAAGAGTAAAGGATAGGAGGTCCACATAGCAAGCCCTAGGAGCAGCCCAAGTGGGAAATGGACATGGTTGGACTGTGGGGGATGGACAGAACTGAACTAGAGGTATCCAGGAAGGGAAAAAGATGGATGCTGGTGATGAAGAAGGTGCTACTGAGACTGAGCAGGATGCTAGCCGATAATGGAGTTCACATGGCAAGAACAAGCTGATGGCCCTCAGCCCCAGCCAAGGTGCACAAGTTCAGGGGTCAAAACCAAATTCACATCCATTAGAGGTAGTCTGAGGAGGAAGAACCAGGGAGATACATCCAAAACAGGTCATCAAGGGAGTCCAGCTGTGGGAGCTGAGGGCAAAAGCCATTAAAAGGTCAGAAAATCAGGGAAGGTGAGCCTAGGAGGGCTGGCCAAATCGGGAAAGGAGGGAGGGAATGTCACTGTCAGCCCACTACCCTTTGAGTATGGATTAGGTCAGTGTAAAAGAGCCAGAGCAGGAGAGATAGACAAGGTCCCAAGTCATAGAAGAGGCTGACAGTTAAACTGATGGCCACATAACAATGCCAGGCCATGCAGCCTGTGCTCAAATGGACACCCAGGCATGCAAGTCTCCTGCTTGTAGCTGCTTCTGTGGAGAGGTCTGGGTGTTTCCATCTGACTGTAAGGTCTGTGCAAGCCATCAGCTACCTGCTCCTGCCAAGAAAGCAATTGCCTTCTCTGACTCCATTAATAGGAGTTTAGTGTCCAGATCAATGTGGCTGCAAGTCCTGCTGCACTTGGCACTTGTCAAGTTGTATCTGGAGACTGGGCTGTGAGGAGCCCACATGCTCAGACACCTCCTTGGGGACTCCCCAAGCCTATGCTAACCCTGTTGGGTGATTGCAGCACCACCTCCATGACTTTGGGCCTGCCTCCCCTGGGGATGTCCCACCTGCAGCAGGGGTTGACTGGGAGATGTAGCAAGCAGGAACAGAGGGCCAATGTCACCAGGCCATCCCTCATGGTAAGATAAGTCTGCACTTTAGATTTCATTTCAGTGAGACATAATAATGCTTAATATTGTCCAAATGTTAAAGAATCAGTGTAGATCAATTGTGTCTGTGAACCAAATCAAGCCTGCAGCCTCCCATCTGTGATTTCTAAGCTAACCTAAACCTCCTTTTTTAAAAAATTTTTTATTTATATATGACAGCAGAATACATTACAATTCTTATTACATATATAGAGCACAATTTTTCATATCTCTGGTTGCATACACAGTACATTCACACCAATTC